CCGTCCATCAGCTGTGACAAGAAGTTCAGAGCACAATTTCACATCGACTGGTGCAAGATCTCACTGGTGAGTCTCAGGACCTGCGGAGAAGGTCTGGTACAGACCGACTCAGAAACAGTCTCACAGTAACTGATGATTTCATTGAAAAAGGTTAAAAACAGATTCATGACTTCATGACGTCCATCAGTCTCCTGTGACACAACCTACATGTGCTTCAGCTTCTGCTGCACCTCATGTCCGTGTGACAGGAGCAGGACAGGAGCAGGACAGGAGCAGGACAGGAGCAGTAGTTCTGTTTGTTCAGTAGTTGAAATACTGACTCCACATTCTCCTCCTGGAGCTGTAGATCTTCTCCTCTCAGGATTTAGACGAACAAAGAACCAGAATAAATCTCCCAGTTCACATCGAGTTCTCCGACCTTCAGGTTGAGACCCACTGCTCCAACCACAGAGCCCCTGTCACACGTGTGTCCACACGAGAGGAACAGGGCCCTTTACACACATGTAGTGAGTTTGTCTGACAGTGTGAAGTGTGCAGTGTGTAGTGTGTGTAGTGTGTGTAGTGTGTGTAGTGTGTGTGTGTGTAGTGTGTAGTGTGTAGTGTGTGTAGTGTGTGTGTGTAGTGTGTGTGTGTAGTGTGTGTATGTGTGTGTGTAGTGTGTGTAGTGTGTAGTGTGTAGTGTGTAGTGTGTGTAGTGTGTGTAGTGTGTGTGTGTATGTGTAGTGTGTGTGTGTAGTGTGTGTAGTGTGTGTAGTGTGTAGTGTGTGTAGTGTGTGTAGTGTGTGTAGTGTGTGTGTGTGTGTGTAGTGTGTGTAGTGTGTAGTGTGTGTGTAGTGTGTAGTGTGTAGTGTGTGTAGTGTGTAGTGTGTAGTGTGTAGTGTGTGTAGTGTGTGTGTGTAGTGTGTGTAGTGTGTAGTGTGTGTGTATGTGTGTGTGTAGTGTGTAGTGTGTGTAGTGTGTGTAGTGTGTGTGTGTGTGTAGTGTGTGTAGTGTGTAGTGTGTGTAGTGTGTGTAGTGTGTGTGTGTGTAGTGTGTGTAGTGTGTGTAGTGTGTGTAGTGTGTGTGTGTAGTGTGTGTGTGTAGTGTGTAGTGTGTGTGTGTGTGTAGTGTGTAGTGTGTGTGTGTAGTAGTGTGTAGTGTGTGTGTGTGTAGTGTGTGTGTGTAGTGTGTAGTGTGTGTGTAGTGTGTAGTGTGTAGTGTGTGTAGTGTGTAGTGTGTGTAGTGTGTGTGTGTAGTGTGTGTAGTGTGTGTGTGTAGTGTGTGTATGTGTGTGTGTAGTGTGTGTAGTGTGTAGTGTGTAGTGTGTAGTGTGTAGTGTGTGTAGTGTGTAGTGTGTGTATGTGTGTGTAGTGTGTGTGTGTAGTGTGTGTAGTGTGTAGTGTGTGTAGTGTGTGTAGTGTGTAGTGTGTAGTGTGTAGTGTGTGTAGTGTGTAGTGTGTGTAGTGTGTGTATGTGTGTAGTGTGTAGTGTGTGTAGTGTGTGTAGTGTGTAGTGTGTGTAGTGTGTAGTGTGTAGTGTGTGTGTGTAGTGTGTAGTGTGTGTAGTGTGTAGTGTGTAGTGTGTGTATGTGTAGTGTGTAGTGTGTGTGTGTAGTGTGTAGTGTGTGTAGTGTGTAGTGTGTAGTGTGTGTAGTGTGTGTGTGTGTAGTGTGTGTAGTGTGTAGTGTGTGTGTGTAGTGTGTGTAGTGTGTAGTGTGTAGTGTGTGTAGTGTGTGTAGTGTGTGTAGTGTGTAGTGTGTAGTGTGTGTAGTGTGTGTAGTGTGTAGTGTGTAGTGTGTAGTGTGTGTAGTGTGTGTAGTGTGTGTGTGTGTAGTGTGTGTAGTGTGTAGTGTGTAGTGTGTGTAGTGTGTGTGTGTAGTGTGTAGTGTGTGTGTGTGTAGTGTGTGTAGTGTGTAGTGTGTAGTGTGTGTAGTGTGTAGTGTGTAGTGTGTAGTGTGTAGTGTGTAGTGTGTGTAGTGTGTGTAGTGTGTGTGTGTAGTGTGTAGTGTGTGTAGTGTGTGTAGTGTGTGTGTGTGTAGTGTGTGTGTAGTGTGTGTAGTGTGTGTAGTGTGTGTGTGTGTGTGTGTGTAGTGTGTGTAGTGTGTGTAGTGTGTGTGTGTGTGTGTGTGTAGTGTGTAGTGTGTGTAGTGTGTGTGTGTGTGTGTAGTGTGTGTAGTGTGTAGTGTGTGTAGTGTGTGTAGTGTGTGTGTGTGTGTGTGTAGTGTGTGTAGTGTGTAGTGTGTAGTGTGTGTAGTGTGTGTAGTGTGTGTAGTGTGTAGTGTGTAGTGTGTGTAGTGTGTAGTGTGTAGTGTGTGTAGTGTGTGTGTAGTGTGTGTAGTGTGTGTAGTGTGTAGTGTGTGTAGTGTGTAGTGTGTGTAGTGTGTGTAGTGTGTGTGTGTGTAGTGTGTAGTGTGTGTGTAGTGTGTGTAGTGTGTGTAGTGTGTAGTGTGTAGTGTGTGTAGTGTGTGTGTAGTGTGTGTATGTGTAGTGTGTAGTGTGTGTAGTGTGTGTAGTGTGTGTAGTGTGTAGTGTGTGTAGTGTGTAGTGTGTGTAGTGTGTGTAGTGTGTAGTGTGTGTAGTGTGTAGTGTGTGTAGTGTGTAGTGTGTGTAGTGTGTGTAGTGTGTGTAGTGTGTGTAGTGTGTGTGTGTAGTGTGTAGTGTGTAGTGTGTGTAGTGTGTGTAGTGTGTAGTGTGTGTAGTGTAGTGTGTAGTGTGTGTAGTGTGTGTGTGTGTAGTGTGTGTAGTGTGTGTAGTGTGTGTAGTGTGTGTAGTGTGTAGTGTGTGTAGTGTGTGTGTAGTAGTGTGTAGTGTGTGTAGTGTGTGTAGTGTGTAGTGTGTAGTGTGTGTAGTGTGTGTAGTGTGTGTGTGTGTGTGTGTGTAGTGTGTGTGTAGTGTGTGTAGTGTGTGTGTAGTGTGTAGTGTGTAGTGTGTGTAGTGTGTGTAGTGTGTGTAGTGTGTGTGTGTAGTGTGCAGTGAGGGGGGATCAAAAGGCCCTTTTCTTCTTCTTCTTCTTCTTCTTCTTCTTCTTCTTCTTCTTCTTCTAAGCGTGTGCTGCTTGTCTCTTGTCTCTCGTTGATCTTCGTTCTGTCCTTCACTCGTTTGTCTTTGTGTCCAGGTGGACATCACTAAAGTGGTCCCCGTGTACGTGAGCCGGCCGGACCCCGGTCCCGGAGTCCTGCCCGAGTTCGGGGAGTACAACCCGCCGTCCGAGGCCCTGAGGAGCCGGGACTACCTGTCGGACTTCGTGGTGACGCTGGCGGTGCCGGCGGCCGTGGCCCTGCTGCTGTTTGTGGTGCTGGGGTACGCCATGTGCTGCAGGAGGGAGGGGGTGTAAGTGCTGCCAACACACCTCTGCTCACCCGGACCCCCCCGACCTGAGGCTGAGCCCCCGACCAGACCCCCAACCTCAGGCTGACCCCGACCTGAGGCTGACCCCCCGACAGACCCCCCAACCTGAGGCTGACCCCGACCTGAGGCTGACCCCCGACCAGACCCCCAACCTCAGGCTGACCCCGACCTGAGGCTGAGCCCCCGACCAGACCCCCGACCTGAGGCTGACCCCAGGCTGACCCCGACTGAGGCTGACCCGACCAGACCCCGACGACCCCCAACCTGAGGCTGACCCGACCCCCGACCTGAGGCTGACCCCGACCTGAGGCAGACCACGACCTGAGGCTGACCCCGACTGAGGCTGACCCCCGACCTGAGGCTGACCCCCCGACCTGACCCCCGACCAGACCTCCCAACCTGAGGCTGAACCTGAGGACCCCTGACCTGAACCACGACCTGAGGCTGACCCGATCTGACCCCCCGACCTGAGGCAGACCACGACCCTGACCCCTTACCTGAGGCTGACCCCCGACCTGAGGCTGACCCCCCGACCTGAGGCAGACCACGACCTGAGGCTGACCCCTGACCTGAGGCTGACCCCTGACCTGAGGCTGACCCCTGACCTGAGGCTGACCCCCGACCTGAGGCAGACCTCGATCTAACGACAGACCCCCGACCTGACAACAGACCTTGATCCGCCGGACAGCCCCCTGACCGCCCCCTGGTCCTCACACACAGACCCTCACACACAGACCCTCACACACTCAGACCTCAGACCCTCACACACAGACCCTCACACACAGACCCTCACACACAGACCCTCACACACCCTCACACACAGACCCTCACACACAGACCCTCCTCTGGTCCCTGGTCCAGACTTTTACTCTGTTCTGTAATTGGGTTAAATGCAGCTTCATCTTCATCACAGGATCCACGTCACATTTACATTTCACACAGGAGACTCTGAGCCCCCGTCACACTCAGAGCTCGAGTTGTGTTTGTTTGAGTAAATCTTTATTCTGAGTCTGTTACATCTGCAAAACTCCAAACGCTCTGCTCCACCTTGTGATGTCACCAAGTGAACAGCTCCTTTTCCCTTTAGTTCAGTCGAGATCGATTAAGAAACTCCAGGACTGAAAAAATGATCCAGATGATTCTAGTGAAGGTGTGTGGAGTTTAAAAACACAGTGGAGCACTTCCTGTATCACCACACGATGACATCACGAGGTGGAACAGTGTTTTCAGTTTGTGTGTGAAACATGTGAATGAAACAAACGCAGCTCCAGGTCTGTGTGACGAGGAAACCACAGATCAGTTTGTTTTATTGAGATCAGTTTTCAGAGAAAAGAGAAACTCCAGGCCTGACACTTTGCAGCTGAAGTGGTCGTTTCCTGAGGGGCGACGCTAACAGGAGGCACTGCTCTGTCTGCAGCTCTGTCAGATCTTTAATCTGATCTTTGTTTTTACCCACAAAGTCCCGACTGAAGGCCTGGTCACACTTCAGAAGAACAGAAGAAGTTTGTTTTTACACACAGGGTCAGACCGACAACATGTGTAAAATCAAACTCCTGAACCGAACCGTGGCCCTGATCACACAAACACGAACATGTGACAAAAACATGTGTCAGTGTTTGCAAACATCAACACTCCACCATACACACACACGCAGAACCCCCCAGTGTGACGTCACTGCAAAGTGTGAGCAGAGCGAGCGCAGTGTGTCAGGGCCACATGTGTCAGGGCAGTGTGTCAGGGCAGTGTGTCAGGGCCAGTGTGTCAGGGCTGCGTGTGTCAGAGCTGCGTGTGTCAGGACAGTGTGTGTCAGGACAGTGTGTGTTAGGGCCGCGTGTGTGTCAGGGCCGTGTGTGTCAGGACAGTGTGTGTCAGGGCCGCCTGTGTCAGGGCCGCGTGTGTGTCAGGGCCGTGTTTGTCGGGGCCGCGTGTGTCGGGGCCGTGTGTGTCAGGGCCGTGTGTGTCAGGACAGTGTGTGTCAGGGCCGCGTGTGTCAGGGCCGCGTGTGTGTCAGGGCCGTGTTTGTCGGGGCCGCGTGTGTCGGGGCCGTGTGTGTCAGGGCCGTGTGTGTCAGGACAGTGTGTGTCAGGGCCGCGTGTGTTAGGGCCACGTGTGTGTTAGGGCCGTGTGTGTGTCAGGGCCATGTGTCAGAGATACAGGTGTCAGGGCTGTGTGTCAGGACAATGTGTGTCAGGGCAGTGTGTCAGGGCAGTGTGTTAAAGCTGTGTGTGTTTCAGAGCCGCATGTGTGTTAGGGCAGTGTGTCAGAGATACAGGTGTCAGGGCTGTGTGTCAGGACAGTGTGTGTGTCAGGACAGTGTGTGTCAGGGCTGCGTGTGTGTCAGGACAGTGTGTGTCAGGGCCGCGTGTGTCAGGGCCGCGTGTGTGTCAGGGCCGTGTGTGTCAGGGCCGCGTGTGTTAGGGCCGCGTGTGTCAGGGCCGTGTGTGTCAGGGCCGTGTGTGTCAGGGCCATGTGTGTCAGGACAGTGTGTGTCAGGACAGTGTGTGTCAGGGCTGCGTGTGTGTCAGGACAGTGTGTGTCAGGGCCGCGTGTGTGTCAGGGCCATGTGTGTCAGGGCCGTGTGTGTCAGGGCCGTGTGTGTCAGGGCCATGTGTGTCAGGACAGTGTGTGTCAGGACAGTGTGTGTGTGTGTCAGGACAGTGTGTGTCAGGGCCGCGTGTGTTAGAGCCGTGTGTGTCAGGGCCGTGTGTGTCAGGACAGTGTGTGTCAGTGTGTGTCAGGGCCGTGTGTGTCAGGGCCGCGTGTGTGTCAGGACAGTGTGTGTCAGGGCCGCGTGTGTCAGGGCCACGTGTGTGTCAGGCGTGTGTCAGGGCCACGTGTGTGTGTGTGTCAGGGCCGTGTGTGTCAGGGCCGCGTGTGTGTCAGGACAGTGTGTGTCAGGGCGTGTGTCGCGTGTGTGTCAGGGCCGCGTGTGGTCAGGTGTGTCAGGGCGTGTGTCAGGGCCGCGTGTGTGTCAGGGCCGTGTGTGTCAGGGCCGCGTGTGTGTGTGTTCAGGTGGTCACTGTGTGTGTGTCAGGGCCGCGTGTGTCAGGGCTGTGTGTGTTAGGGCCGTGTGTGTCAGGGCCGTGTGTGTCATGTCCATGTCCTCCTCACTGTCTGCTCTTGTGTTTCTGTCACTGTTTAATTCATCCATTTTGTTTTGTCCCCAGGGTCAAACGAAACATGCAAACCCCAGAGTAAGTCTCTCCTCTGTCACTCACTCTGTTCTTCATCACATCTTCATCACTTCATCCTCCAGCTGCTCCCACAGCTGCTCCAAATCCAACTCCAAATCCAACTCCAAATCCAAATCCAACTCCAAATCCAACTCTGAGCCCGACGAGAGGCCAGAGACACACCAAGGTTTACTTTATTACAACACATGAATCATGAATCTCAGACTTCTGATCATTGTGTAATTCACACTGGGAAGGATTTTCTGAAAAAGTGATCGTCAAACCTCCATGTTTGTTTTCCCAGTGGGACGTGTCTATTGTCAAAGTCGATCTTTTCAAGTCTTTTGAACCATTTCACTTTTGTTTCTGGTTCTGATATTGTCATATTTTAGTTTTGGGATTCAGACATTGTTAATTATGTGGTTGTTGGATCCTAACAGCGGAAAACGACTCGAGAAATTAGTTTGTGAACTTCATAAATGTAAAAGTGAATCAGATGTGTGTGACTCAAACCTCCATTCAAACTGTTTCTCTTCCCAACGGAATTGAAAAATAGTGAAAGGTGAAGGTGATGGGCAGGATTGATCCACAGGAAGAACCAAAAAGGAAACATTTGTCTGACTAAGAAATCATCCCGAGTTTACAGAGAACATTTTGTATGTGGAGCGACGACAAAACAAAATCTGGTTTGTTAATGGAGCAGAAGACAAACAGACTGAGCTGCACTTTCTTGTTCTTGTGGTTTTACAGAAACATCACGTCTTGGTCTTTGCAGTGGAAGGTGTTTCTTGGTGAACAGTTGGAGACTTTCACTTTGGTGTTGACTTTTTAAATTCGTAACCGAGGTTGAGCGAAGGATCGGGATTGTTGTTTTGTTGTCGCTCCACATACAAAATGTTCTCTGTAAACTCGGGATGATTTCTTAGTCAGACAAATGTTTCCTTTTTCATCTATCCCGTGGATCAGAGGTGCTGACACTTTTTCATCATGTGAGCTACTTACAAAATGACCAAGTCAAAATCATCTACCTGATACAAAGTCAAACAAACTGCACTGAAACACTCTGTGGCCCTTTTTTGGACCCTCCCCCACAGTTTGAGAACCTCTTCTTTAAGAGAACTTCCTCTGGCACTTTACACAAAACTGTGAAAAAAGTGAAGGAAGATTTTTAAACCTGTTTTTTAAAGTTCCAAACTGGAGTTTCATTCTTTTGTGGTTTTGCAGTGATATTTTCCAGCCTCTGCACGTTTACCAAACCAAACACACATCGTGACAAACACAGATGCATTTGTCACTTTTGTTAGACAAACTTCAGCCAAATGTGGCAGTAGGTCTGTTCTGTAGATCCGCTCTATGCTGTAGACCTGCTTTGTGCCAACACTGGAACACAAATTTAGACTGGTTTTTGCTTCACGTTTGGTCTTGTTCTTCTAATCAGCCGCACTGTGGAGGGGCTTGTGTTGGCTGTACGCAGGAAGGAGCGAGAGCGTGAAAAGGCGAGGGCGGCGTGCTGACGTGAGGCAGGTGGACAGGTAGGATGTTTAGGAAGTTGAACCTGCCCTGTGATGCACGCTGGTACACGAGGGCACACGCTGTCGCAGACGAGCCGTGCATAGGGAGCGTGTGTGTTTGTGATGCGCCGTAGAGTCTCCGCGGGTTTCAAATGAGCGCACAGGCTGCACTGAGACGCCCCACACGCTCCTGCACCCGCTACAAGTTTATTACCAACAGCAGCGGCCGGAATGAAATATGATCACACTTGTTGAGTGTCAGACCTCGAGTGAGAGACAAGACCGAGTCCAAACACGAGTCCAAACGAGACACGGCGATCTACCCACACGACCTTGGTGATCGACTGGTAGATCGAGATCGACGTATTGAGCACCACTGTCTTAGTCAGACAAATGTTTCCTTTTTAGTTCTTCCTGTGGATCAATCCTGCCCATCACCTTCACCTTTCACTATTTTTCAATTCCGTTGGGAAGAGAAACAGTTTGAATGGAGGTTTGAGTCACACACATCTGATTCACTTTTACATTTATGAAGTTCACAAACTAATTTCTCGAGTCGTTTTCCGCTGTTAGGATCCAACAACCACATAATTAACAATGTCTGAATCCCAAAACTAAAATATGACAATATCAGAACCAGAAACAAAAGTGATATGGTTCAAAAGACTTGAAAAGATCGACTTTGACAATAGACACATCCCACTGGGAAAACAAACATGGAGGTTTGATGATCACTTTTTTGGAAAAGCCTTCACAGGATGCATTGTGCGATGACCAGAAGTCTGAAATTCTTGATGCGTGTTTTAGAAATAAGGATTTAAAGAACTGATTTAAGCCATGTTCTAATGTCCTGATGTTCCTGGTCACACACAGAGCTGGAGTTGTGTTGTGAGTAACTCTTTATTAGGAGTCATTAGTATTTTAGTATCAGTACATCTCCGAAGCTCCAAACGCTCTCTTCCACCTTGTGATGTCATGAAGTGGTAGTTTTGAAGTTCTCAGCTCCTTTTCACTTTAGTTCAGTCGAGATCAGTGACTTGAGGGTTGAAATCTTCCAACTTTATGTAATGGTTTAAAAACACAGTGGAGAAAAAATTTACTTAAGTGCCTGTTTAAAAATGTACATAAAGTTAAAGTAATTTGCGCATATTTTGAGATTTAATAAAACAGATTTTGTGATTTTGAAGATTTATAAAGACATTTGGTTTAACAGAAACAACTGAATCATTTTTCGAATCTGTTTTTATTTGTGTATTTCTGTTTCTGTTCAAACTATGAACTAAAAAATAAAAATAAAGCCTTCAAGCCTTTTCAAAAAACACAGTGGAGCACCTCCTGTATCACCACATGATGACATCACAAGGTGGAACAGGGTGTTTTCAGTTTGAGAGAAGCACTCGTGCAGGTTTGTGTGTTAAACGAGTGAATGAAACAAACACGACTCCAGGTTTGTGTGTTGAGGAAACATCAGAGCAGAAACACAAAACAGTGGAATGTGGCTTTTTAAAGTGGCGTTCAGACGTCAGAGGTGAACACAGAACACACCTGGACACACCTGGACACACCTGAACACACCTGAACACACACCTGGACACACCTGGACACACACCTGGACACACCTGAACACACCCGGACACACCTGCTGAACACACCTGGACACACCTGGACACACCTGAACACACCTGGACACACCTGGACACACCTGAACACACCTGACACACACACTGGACACACCTGAACACACCTGGACACACCTGGACACACTAGAACACACCTGGACACACCTGGACACACTAGAACACACCTGGACACAACTGGACACACCTGAACACACCTGGACACACCTGGACACACTAGAACACACCTGGACACACCTGGACACACCTGCTGAGAGGCGGCACAGGTGTGTGTGGCAGCCATGTGTACACAGTCTGTCCCAGGGCAGCTGTGGCTCATTATTTAGAAGATGATCTCCTGTGATTTTCTACAACTTTCTTTTCTGTTCTGTTCTGTGTGTGTAAGATGATTATGTAAAATATGAATCAAAATCAAGTTCCTACAGACGGATCCAGACTTTTCCACAGACTCAGGTCGTTTCTCTTCTAGTTTTGTAGAGTTTTGTTAAAGTCGCTGTCGTCAACTGAACTGAAATGACCAAAATATACTTTCCACAAAAATAATCATGAATAATTTTAGAAATAAACTCACACAAATGAAAACAGAGACACACAAAACAACACAAACCAAACACAAACGTTTGGTTTAATTTTCTGCTGTTTTGAGGCTGTTTCACATTTTCATTCATCGACCCGAAATAAAACTTTTCAGATTTGAAGAATCAGAATCACACAAACCAAACTTTTTACAGCACAAATGAAACACAAACGACTGACTCAGTTTTGTGTCGTTTTAGATCAGGAGAGTCAAACTCGAACTCACAGAGGCCAAACTTAAAAACTGCGTCTAAGTCGTGGGTCAAACTAAATATTTATTTTTAAATTTCTACAACATCTGTATGTTTTCTTTGGAGATCTTTAATGTTAAATCTTTTCTTATTAAAATAAATGTTTAATAAATGTTTTGCTTAAACATTGAATCCAGAACAAACAGAATATAAAATAACATTTTAAATAAATCATGTCTCTATAGTCGATCTGTGTGCGGCGACAGCTCTAATACAGATTTGATTTGATTATATCACAGGCCAAATTTGGCCCCCGGGCCTGAGTTTGACATTTCCTGTGGCTGGTGACGCCAGTTTGACCTGTAAAAGAATCGTAAATATCTCCAAAACTAAAGCAGCACAAACAAAACACAAACGATGGACGTAGTTTCCGTGCAGGTTTGTGTTTGACGGAGGCACTTCTGTCCGCGGCCTGAGGTCCGTCTGCAGGTCGACTCAGGTTCAGCCCAGAGCTTCAGGCTTTATTGTTTCTCACTGGGCCTGACCTGGAGCTGCAGACCTGAGCTGCTGCTGCTGCTGCGTTCTTTGCGTGACAATGACAGTTACGGCAGCGTCCTCGCGCCTCCTTGCGCGTTGTCCTCTCGCGCCTCCTTGCGCCTCCTCTTGCTGCCTGAACCCTGATCCTGCATTGACTTCCTTCTGTGGCTGTTTGTGACGTAGAATCCAGCTGGTCCAGCACAGCTCCATCCAGAAGTCGTCCAAAGAGCTGAGGAGCCTGTCCAAGAACCGCGAGATCTCCTGGCCCCTGTCCACTCTGCCCGTCTTCAACCCCGTGAGCGGAGAAGTGGTGCCCCCCCTGCACCCGGACAGCTACGAGACCACCAGCATGCCCCTCATGCAGACGCAGACGTAAGCCCCCCCACGCAGACGTAAGCCCCTCCCCCTCACGCAGACGCAGACGTAAGCCCCCCCACGCAGACGTAAGCCCCTCCCCCCCACGCAGACGTAAGCCCCTCATGTCCCTCGTGTGTGTTTGTGTTTTGTTCTAAAGTTTCTGTTCTGTTACAGGAACCTGCAGAACCAGATCACCATCCCCCAACCACGGCAGACAGGTGCATCTCTCCTCTGTCTCCTCTCTGTCTCTCCTCTGTCTCTCTCTGTCTCCTCTGTCTCCTCTCTGTCTCTCCTCTCTGTCTCCTCTCTGTCTCTCCTCTGTCTCTCCTCTGTCTCCTCTCTGTCTCTCTCTGTCTCTCCTCTGTCTCCTCTGTCTCTCCTCTCTGTCTCTCCTCTCTCTCGGCTCTGGTGTTGGTCTGAGCTTTTCCTCTTTTTTTTTTTTTTTTTTCATAAATAACGTCCCTCAAACTGTTTCATCCGTTAAATGTCCCATAATCCTCTGCTCTCTGCTCTCATGTGGTTTCGACCTGCAGATTTAGCACAAGTTCTCCTCTCAGACTAAAAACACTCTGTTCCACCTTGTGATGTCATCATGTGGTGATACAGGAAGTGCTCCACTGTGTTTTTTAAACTCCACACACCTTCACTAGAATCACCTGGATCATTTCAATTTGTACTGAACTAAAGGAGCTGTTCACTTCATGACATCACAAGGTGGAGCAGAGCGTTTGGAGCTTTGGAGATGTAACAGACTCAGAATAAAGAGTTCCTCAGATGTTCTTTCCTCCTCCCTGGTCTGTAACACCAGCGCCGTGTTGTCTGAGCGTCTGTCCTCGTGCTCTGTGCTGCTGCTGCGCCCTCTAGTGGCGTCCTGTGACTCTGCACTAACCCCTTTCTCCTCCCCGCTGCCCAAGGAGACACTTATGTCATGTCCACATTCCGACGACTGGAGGTAGGTGCAGGGTGTGACGAGGGTGTGACCCGGGTGTGACCCGAGTGTGACGAGGGTGTGACCCGAGTGTGACGAGGGTGTGACGCGGGTGTGACGCGAGTGTGACCGGCGTGTGACCCAAATGTGACGTGGGTGTGACGCGGGTGTGACGCGGGTGTGGTGCGAGTGTGATGAGGGTGTGACCCGAATGTGACGCGAGTGTGACCAGAGTGTGACGAGGGTGACGCGGGTGTGACGTGTGATGTGAGTGTGACCAGGGTGTGACCCGAATGTGACGAGGGTGTGACCCGAGTGTGACCCGAGTGTGACGCGAGTGTGACGCGAGTGTGACCCGGGTGTGACCCGAGTGTGACGAGGGTGTGACGCGAGTGTGACGCGAGTGTGACCCGAGTGTGACGAGGGTGTGACCCGAGTGTGACGAGGGTGTGACGCGAGTGTGACCAGAGTGTGGAGGATTGATGAGAATGTTATTGTTGACTGCGTTGGTGCGTCGTTGGTGCGTGGATGATGTGTCGTTGGTGCGTGGATGATGTGTCGTTGGTGCGTGGATGATGTGTCGTTGGTGTGTGGATGATGTGTCGTTGGTGTGTGGATGATGTGTCGTTGGTGTGTGGATTGATGATGTGTCGTTGGTGCGTCGTCGGTGCGTCGTTGGTGCGTGGATGATGATGCGTGGTGACATGGTTCGTTCATGGACCTCTGTGTGTGTTTCAGGTAAATGGTATTCCTGAGGAGAGGAAGGTGGCTGAAGCTCTGGACCTGTGATCCCTGCACACTTTTCCTCTTCATGTTTGTGTGTCCACGGCCTCCATCAGTGACTCTGTGCTCGAGACGTATCTGTAAATAATCACCGTCTTTATAATAAAGACTTTATGTTTGAATCCATATTACATTTCTGAAACGTTATTTGAACCTTGTTTACGTGCAGCAAACACACCACGACAGGAAAGTCTCAGTCTGTTTCACTGAATACAGCATTTTCAAAAGAATAAAAAGAAACTGTGTGATATAAATACGTGATGTGTTACCGTTAATATCCCAGAGAACAATTTTAGTGGAATCTACACAGCGACGACAAACACAACTGTAAAGTGGTGGTGAGGACATCGCTTCAGAACGAGGACTTCTCTTCAGAACAGTCTCTGCAACAGCTTTTATTCACATAAGTACGCAGCCCCGCCCCCTTTAGTTTTCCCTGATGGTAAGTCTGTCGGTTCGGTAAAGCTGCAGTCCTTCAGATGGAACACCGAGCCCGGACACACACACACATATGCACACACACACACGGGGGCGGGTAAACACAGGAAGAAAAACACACACCACTGCAGAGAGTAAAACACATTTCAAAACAAAAGCACGCAATATAAAAACGTGCCAGTCTCTACAAAGTGAGCCGTAATCAACCTGTCACATGACAATATTTCCATTTTAATGAGCCTACGGGAAAACAATTATTAACTTCATGAACAGCCTTTAGAAAATTATTCACCTGGAGAATTTAAGAATTCATTTTGAACCGACTGAACAAGTGAATAAAGATCAGCCAAAACAAACCAGAGGCTTTTCCGTCGTGTGCGAGCTCAGACCAGTTCATTTTGAGGAGCAGGAGAGTCCAGGAGCGTTTGACGGGTTTGCAGATGTTTCCAGGAGCTGGTGTGAGGTACAGACTGTGGCCGGTCACATGCACGACTCACTGGAGGAAGCAGAAAGTCCAGAGAGATTTGACCGGACGCCTAAGACGAGAGGAAGGTTCAGTGAGGATTGTCCCTCTGGTCTGTGGGAGGAATGATCTGCCCACAGGTGGACGGCAGTGTGTTTGATCAGAGATCCATGGAAGAGTCGTGACAAAGAAATGAAAGTATCGAGTAACACAATAACGGCATTTAAGAAACACACAAAAACCTGTACAGATGTATTGATTGGAAATGTGGAAATTTATTTCAAACAATAAAAAACAGCACACAGAAAATATAAACCTCAAAGAGAAAAGACGCCGTGTCCCAGATTTATCCTCAAGCTCCTTTCCATGTGCAGTCCTCCAGCAGGTACACGACACACATGACTTGTATCTTCATGTCTTTTTATACTTTAATAAATTAAATTCAAATGAACAAATTAAACAAAGAAACAATTAAGGTAATTGTTTATCGTCCTGCATGAAGACCAGCGCCCCCAGCAGCAGAGAGAGGAGCCCCACGGCCCCCAGCCTCTTCAGCAGAGCCACAGTGTCTTTAGGAATGAGCAGCTGGGCCAGGAGGTTGGTGATGAGGGAGATCTCATGAGCCACACACACAAAGATGAAGCTACTGACCAGGATGTTGAGGGACGGGTTTCCAGGGATGAGCACTAAGATGCCCTTGGTGTCTGCTGCCAGCCAGATGTGGTACTGACAGATGAACAGCTGGACACAGCACATTTTGGGTTTAGTTTTACACTTCTGTACTTCTTCTTCTTTATACTTCACACTGAGACTCTGGATCTTACCTCCAAAGAGATTTTCCCAAACCAGGCAAAAAAGGAGCTGTAGACGGAGCGGGCGAAGCCGGGAATGTTCCTGATGAGGATGAAGGCCAGAATCTGAGGAGACACAGGAGCATCACAGAGAGGTCAGCACAAACTTTACCCTGTGGACTCCATTCAAATGGATGTGTGCAACCTGACATCTACAGCGGCCTCAGAGGACAAACACAAACAAAGATCAGTAACATCACGTCCACTCTGTTTGGAGGCCAACATCACCCACCGGGAGCACAGAGATGTAGGGGTGCATCTGGTTGCACTGGGCTTTGGTTTGGCAGTTACTGGCCCACACTGAGTACGTCTAAAGTAAAGAGGACACAAGATGTTAGGAAGCCTTCACTTTGCTGTGAGGAGCACTAGTGTGTCAGGTCTTCATCCAGAACCAACTACAGCGAGAGTCCAACACTTACGACGAAAGAGAGGCCAGACAGGAGCAGCAGGGGCAGGGAGACTTTAGCCGAGAACAGAGCTTCTCCTCTGGTCTCCGACAGCACCTGCTTCTTCTGAAGGAGCAGATAGAGGAAGGCAAACACCATCCCCTGTAGCACGGCCTGCAAACACACCAGCACTCACATCCACATCTACTGGAACAGAGCGGTCGTGGAGCTACGGCACCAAAGCACTTACAAACCGGTCCAGTCTCCAGCGGAACCACCACTCGCGAATGTCCCCGTCCAGTTGGAAGAGGCTGGAAAGCGGCCACGCCGTGAAGGTGCTCTCGAACACGCCCTGCACACAGGAACAATCACACCACATTCAACAGTTTTCCAACAGTGTTGAGGACACTGCCTCTGGAGGGACTGTGCTGTTACCTGTGAATAGGCAAAGAGGCAAATGAGCAGCAGGAGGCCCACTAACTTGAGCAGGATTCCCAAGTACCACAGGGCGCTGTCTGTTCACACAGAGAGAAGAAGAACACAGGTGAGGGGCGCCGCGGCCACGTCCACAACACTCGAGCGCTTAGGGACACCTACTGCTGGCTTTCTTCTGCACGATCTGAGGCCACGCGGCCAGCGCGCCGTAGATGATCACGAACCAGAACGACACCAGAGGAACGAAGTAATAGAACTGGTACGGCCTGTCCATCACCGCGCACAACACCAGCACCAGGAAGTTGAGGCGGAACAGAACCTGCGGCACGAGCACGGTCACACCGGCGCCGCGGGAGCACAAAGCACGGAGGCCGCGGGAGCCGCACTCACCTGGCACACTCTGTACAGGCCGAAGTCCCCTTTGAGCCAGAAGAAGGAGAAGTGTCCGTAGCCCGTCTGGAAGAGATAGGCCGCCACCAGCACGCGCACGTGCATGTAGACCGGAATGAACTGACACACACAAGAACAATCAGCTCCTGCTTTGACACCACACACAGAATAGAGAGGAAGACTCACAGCACTGGCTCCTGAAATATGATAGATGAGAATGACCAACTGCATCCAGCCCTTCCACTCATCTGTCTGCTCCCTGTTCAGCACACGACTCTGGAACACAGCACACAGTCACAGACACACAGGGACACGCACACAGAGACACGCACACAGAGACACATACACAGAGACACACACACAGAGACACGACACACAGAGAGACACACACAGAGACACGACACACAGAGACACGACACACAGACACGACACAGAGACACACACAGAGACACACGACGACACACAGACGACACACACGACACACAGAGACACGACACACAGAGACACACACACACGACACACACACGACACGACACACACAGAGACACGACACACAGAGACACGACACACAGAGACACGACACACAGAGACACGACACACAGACACGACACACACGACACACACACAGAGACACGACACACAGAGACACGACACACACAGACACACACACACGACACAGAGACACACACACAGAGACACACACACAGAGACAGACACAGACAGACGACACACAGAGACACGACACACAGAGACACACACAGACAGCACACACACGACACACAGACAGACACGACACACACAGACACGACACACAGAGACACACAGAGACACACAGACACACACAGAGACACACAGAGACACGACACACAGAGACACGACACACAGACACGACACACAGAGACACACACAGAGACACGACACACACACAGACAGACACGACACACAGAGACACGACACACAGACACGACACACGACACACAGAGACACGACACACAGACGACACACACAGAGACACACACAGAGACACAGAGACACACACACACAGAGACACACACACAGACAGACACACACGACACACAGACAGACACGACACACACAGAGACACACGACACACAGAGACACGACACACAGACAGACACACAGAGACACACACAGACAGACACAGACACACAGAGACACACACACAGAGACACACACACAGAGACACACACACACAGGACACGACACGACACACAGAGACACACGACACACACAGAGACACGACACACAGAGACACACACAGAGACACACACACAGGGACACGACACACAGACAGACACGACACACACACACACAGAGACACACACACAGAGACACGACACACACACAGAGACACGACACACAGGGACACACAGAGACACACACACAGAGACACGACACACGAGACACGACACACACACAGACACGACACACAGAGACACACACACACAGACAGACACACGACACACAGAGACACACGACACACACAGACAGACACACGACACACACAGAGGACACACAGAGACACACACAGACACGACACACAGACACACACACAGACACGACACACACACACACAGAGACACGACACACAGAGACACGACACACAGGGACACACACGACACACAGAGACACGACACACACGACACACAGACACACACACACACACAGAGACACGACACACAGAGACACACACACAGAGACACGACACACAGAGACACGACACACAGAGACACACACACACAGAGACACGACACACACGACACGACACACACGACACACACACACACAGACACACGACACACACAGACACACAGAGACACGACACACACACAGACAGAGACACGACACACAGAGACACGACACACAGAGACACACACACAGAGACACACACACAGACAGACACACGACACACAGACAGACACACAGAGACACACACACAGACACGACACACGACACGACACACAGACAGACACGACACACAGAGACACGACACACGACACACACAGACACACAACACGACACACACACAGAGACACGACACAGACACACACAGAGACACGACACACAGACAGACACGACACACACAGACAGACACGACACACAGACAGACACGACACACACGACACACAGAGACACACACACAGAGACACACACACAGACAGACACGACACACACAGAGACACGACACGACACGACACACAGGGAGACACGACACACAGAGACACACACGACACACACAGACAGACACGACACACAGACACGACACACACAGCACACAGACACGACACACAGGGACACGACACACAGAGACACACAGACACGACACACAGACACACACACACACACAGACACGACACACACACGACACACAGAGACACGACACACAGACACGACACACAGACACACGACACACAGAGACACGACACACAGACACACGACACACACAGACACACAGGACGACACACAGAGACACGACACACAGACACACACGACACGACACACAGGGACACGACACACAGAGACACGACACACAGAGACACGACACACAGGGACACACACACGACACACAGAGACACACACACAGAGACACGACACACAGACACGACACACGACACACACGACACACAGACACGACACACAGGGACACGACACACAGACAGACACGACACACACAGACACGACACACAGGACACACACACACACACAGGACACGACACACAGGAGACACGACACACAGACAGACACGACACACACAGACACGACACACACGACACACAGACACAGACACACAGGGACACACAGACAGACACACGACACACACAGACACGACACACACAGAGACACACACACAGGGAGACACGACACACACGACACGACACACAGAGCACACGACACACACAGCACACACACGACACACAGACACGCACACGACACGACACACAGAGACACGACACACACAGGACACACACACGACACACACAGACAGACACACACAGACACACAGACAGACACGACACACAGGACACGACACACAGACAGACACGACACACAGGACACGACACACAGGGACACACACAGAGACAGAGACACACACACAGACACACGACACACACACACACGACACACAGACACACACAGACGACACACAGGGACACACACACAGACAGACACGACACACACAGGGACACGACACACAGACACGACACACACAGGGACACACACACACAGGGACACGACACACAGACACACACACAGACACACAGGGACACGCACACAGAGACACGACACACAGAGACACACACACAGACACACACACGACACACAGGGACACACACGACACACACAGACACAGACACACAGACGACACACACACAGACACACACAGACACACAGGGACACGCACACAGAGACACACAGACACACAGGGGACACGACACACACAGCACACAGACACACAGACACACACACAGGGACACGACACACAGGACACACAGACACACACACAGTCACAGACACACAGGGACACACACACAGGACACGACACACACACGACACACAGGGACACGACACACAGAGACACGACACACAGGGACACGACACACACACAGACACACAGACACACAGGTCACACGACACACAGAGACACGACACACAGGGACACACACACAGACAGACACACACACAGACACACAGGGACACACACACACACAGACAGACACACGACACACACAGAGACACGACACACAGGGACACACAGACACACACAGGGACACACACACACACAGACACACAGAGACACGACACACAGGGACACACACACAGACACGACACACAGGGACACACACAACACACAGTCACAGACACACAGACACACAGGGACACACGACACACACAGACACAGGGACACACAGACAGACACACACACACAGTCACAGACACACAGGGACACACGACACACACACACACACACACAGGACACACACACGACACACAGACACACACAGGACACACACAGGACACACACACACAGAGACACGACACACAGGACACGACACACAGACACACACGACACACACAGTCACAGACCACACAGGGACACACGACACACAGAGACACACAGGCACACACACACAGACACGACACACAGACACGACACAGGGACACACAGGGACACACACACAGACACGACACACAGGGACACACACACAGGACACACACACACAGGGACACGACACACAGGGACACACACACAGACAGTCACACACAGACACACGACACACAGGGACACGACACACAGACACAGACACGACACACAGACACGACACACACAGGACACGACACACAGGGACACACACGACAACACACAGGGACACGACACACAGGGACACGGACACACAGTCACAGACACACACACAGGGACACAGCACACAGGACACAGACACACAGGGACACAGACACACAGTCACAGACACACAGGGACACGCACACAGGGACACACAGACACACACGACACACAGGGACACGCACACAGTCACAGACACACAGGGACACACAGGGGACACACACAGACACACAGACACGACACACAGGGACACACACACAGGACACGACACACAGGGACACGACACACAGGGACACACACACAGAGACACAACACACAGTCACAGACACACAGGGACACGACACACAGGGACACGACACACAGTCACAGACACACAGGGACACACACACAGGGACACGACACACAGTCACAGACACACAGGGACACGGCACACAGGGACACGACACACAGGGACACAGCACACAGTCACAGACACACAGGGACACGACACACAGGGACACGACACACAGTCACAGACACACAGGGACACGACACACAGGGACACGACACACAGGGACACACACACAGAGGGACACGACACATGACACACAGGGACATGACACACAGTCACACGACACACAGGGACATGACACACAGTCCCAGACACACAGGGACACGACACACACAGGGACACACGACACACAGGGACACGACACACAGTCACAGACACACACAGACACACACACAGGGACACAGGGACAACACACAGGGACACACACACAGGGACACGACACACAGTCACAGACACACAGGGACACGACACACAGGGACACACACACACACACGGACACACACACACGGACACGACACACACGGACACGACACACACGGACACGACACACAGTCACACGACACACAGGGACACGACACACAGACACAGACACACAAGGACATGGCACACAGGGACATGACACACAGGGACATGACACACAGGGACACGACACACAGTCACAGACACACAGGGACACGGCACACAGGGACACGACACACATTCACAGACACACAGGGACACGGCACACAGGGACACGACACACAGGGACACACACACAGGGACACAGCACACAGTCACAGACACACAGGGACATAACACACAGGGACACGACACACAGTCACAGACACACAGTCACAGACACACAGGGACACGACACACAGGGACATGACACACAGGGACACGACACACAGTCACAGACACACAGGGACACGACACACAGGGACACACACACAGAGGGACACGACACATGACACACAGGGACATGACACACAGTCACACGACACACAGGGACACGACACACAGTCCCAGACACACAGGGACACGACACACATTCACAGACACACAGGGACACGACACACAGTCACAGACACACAGGGACACGGCACACAGGGACACGACACACATTCACAGACACACAGGGACACGGCACACAGGGACATGACACACAGGGACACGACACACAGGGACACGACACACAGTCACACACAGTCACAGACACACAGGGACACGACACACAGTCACAGACACACAGGGACACGGCACACAGTCACAGACACACAGGGACACACACACACAGGGACACGACACACAGTCACAGACATACAGGGACATGACACACAGGGACACACACACAGGGACACGCACACAGTCACAGACACACAGGGACACGACACAGGGACACAACACACAGGGACACGACACACAGTCACAGACACACAGTCACAGACACACAGGGACATGACACACAGGGACACGACACACAGGGACAGGCACACAAGGACATGGCACACAGACACAGACACAGGGACACACAGAGGACACACACAGGGGACACACACGACACAGGACACAGAGGACATGACACAGAGACACGACACACACGAGGGACACGAGACACACACAGAGACACAGGGACACAGAGGACACAGACACACAGAGGACACAGACACAGGGACACACACAGACACAGGGACACAGGGACACAGAGGACACAGACACAGGGACACACAGGGACACAGAGGACACAGAGGACACACAGGACACAGAGGGACACAGAGGGACACGACACACAGAGGACACAGGGACACAGACACAGGGACACAGAGGACACAGAGGGACACAGAGGACACAGAGGGACACAGAGGACACAGAGGACACAGAGGACACACAGGGACACACACAGGGACACACAGGACACAGACACACAGGGACACAGGGACACAGAGGACACACAGACAGACACACAGGGACACAGGGACACACAGGGACACAGAGGGACACACACAGGGACACAGAGGGACACAGAGGGACACAGAGGACACAGGGACACAGAGGGACACAGAGGACACAGAGGGACACAGAGGACACAGAGGGACACACAGGGACACGACACAGGACACAGACACAGAGACACAGGGACACAGAGGGACACAGAGGGACACAGAGGGACACAGAGACACACAGGGACACAGAGACACAGAGGACACAGAGGGACACAGAGGACACAGAGGGACACAGAGGACACAGAGGGACACAGAGGGACACAGAGCACACAGAGACACAGGGACACAGAGGGACACAGAGGACACAGACACAGGGACACAGAGGACACAGAGACACAGGGACACAGAGGGACACAGAGGACACAGAGGGACACAGAGGACACAGAGGACACAGAGGGACACAGAGGGACACAGAGGGACACAGAGGGACACAGAGGGACACAGAGGACACAGAGGGACACAGAGGGACACAGAGGGACACAGAGGGACACAGAGGACACAGAGGACACAGAGGGACACAGAGGGACACAGAGGGACACAGAGGGACACAGGACTCACCTCTTTGGTGCTCTCGCTGCAGAACACTCCCAGCACAAACACACTGATCAGAGGGATGAAGAAGGCCGAGTGACTGTAACATTTCTGTTCCTTCATAAACACGTCTGCTCTGTCACACAGGTAGAAGTAAACCATGATGAGCCCCATTCTGCACAGGGCCCCGCACGCCGCCCCCGGGCCCCCGGGGGCCGTAGCCGGCTTCTTCTCCTCTAAACTCTCCGGGTCGGGGGCCGGGGGCCGCCGATGGGGCCGTTTCCTCAGAAAGTGGAACAGCAAGAAAAGTAGAGTGGAGGCCACAAACAAACACAGCGCCATCTTCTGGAGAAAAGTGAGCGGGGGCGAGTTCTGGCAGCAGGAACCGTCAATGGGCCGGATCACTTTGTTACACACACTGTTCATTAAGGCCATGGCCCCCTGAAACACACACACACACACACGAGGGTCAGTAACACACACACACACACACGTTTATGTAACACACACACGAGGGTCAAGTTTATGTAACACACACACGAGGGTCACGTTTATGTAACACACACACACACACAGACTCTGAAGCTGCGTTCAGACGCTGTGTCAAGCCGGAGTTTACATGGAAAGTTTGCGCAGCAGACGGGCGCCCGTCTGCTGCAGACACGACTCACCACGTCCCGGACTCGGGGAGTCATGTGGAGACCATCGGCAATTTCACTGATGTTCTGCAGAGCCGCCTGACGGGATGCTCCAAACGACTTGATCCTGGAGCTTCCTAATCTGTAAACCTCGACTGCAGCGTCGTTAAACAGATCTATCTGTTCGTTGGTTATCGCCTTCCTAAAGTTATTTAACGCCGACCACAGCACTGGCTCTGCAACAAAACAAAAAATAAACATCAAATTTATGAAGCGAGTTCAAATCAGCCAAAATGACAACAGAGAATGAGGCTTGACTCGAGTGTGTGCACAGGCCTCTGTTTCCTCACTTACAAACATTAAATGATGGAAAACTCCAAACACATTTTTCATGTGCACTTTTCAAACCACAGGAAAAAGGTCAGATTCTTATCTCTAAACGTGTTGAACGTGTTTGGTGTAATAATATAAAACTGATTCTACACATTCAGTCTGGAAAGACTCTCGCACAAAGCGTTTGGAAAACACAGAGCGTCATGACGAATATTTGAATCTGACTGGTCGAAGTATCATAAAGCCCAGTTTAAGTCATCCATGTCACGACGTAGAGAGTCTGTCACATTGAACCTCCTCCACAGAGCATCTGCGTCGACCAATGTGCACCTCTGAAACTTTTAACTATGCACGTGGAGGAGTACGGAGGGTGTGTTCCAACTCCAGGAGAATCACACTCCTCAGCCTCCTCGGCCTCTGTCAGGGACTGGAGAGGAGAACCCGGCCGATAGTCGAACCTCGGGTCCAGGAGGAGCAGTGTGGTTTTGGTCCCGGTCGTGGAACACTGGACCAGATCTACACTCTCCATCAGGGGCTGGAGGTTCATGGGAGTTTGCACAGTCCACATGTGCTTTGTGGATCTGGAGAAGAGTCGACCGTGTCCCTCGTGTGTCCTGTGGGGGGCGCTCTGGGAGTCTGCGGTACGGTCCCTGTACGACCGGAGCAGGAGCTGTGTTCATTGCCGCAGTTAGTCAGACCTGTTCCCTGTGCATGTTGGACTCTGCCAGGGCCGCCCCTGTCACCGGTTCTGTTCATTGTTTTTATGGACAGAGTTTCAGGGGTCGGAGGGTCCGGTTTGGGGACCACAGGATCATCTCTGCTGTTCACAGATGATGTTGTCCTGTTGGCTTCATCAGACCAGGACCTGCAGCTCTGGGGCGGTTTGACCCGAGTGTGAAGCGTCTGGGATGAAGATCAGCTCCTCCAAACCCGAGGTCGTGGTTCTGGATCGGAAAAAGTAATCTTGTCGTCTCCGGGCGGGTGGAGAGTCTCTGCCTCAAGTGGACGAGTTCAAGTGTCGGGGTCTTGTTCTCGAGTGAGGGGAGGATGGAGCGAGAGACTGACAGGTGGACAGGTGCAGCGTGGGCAGATTGACAGGTGGACAGGTGCAGCGTGGGCAGATTGACAGGTGGACAGGTGCAGCGTGGGCAGATTGACAGGTGGACAGGTGCAGCGTGGGCAGTGATGCGGTCACTGTATCGGTCGTTGTGGTGAAGAGGAGCTGAGTCTGGATTTAGCGTCAGTTTCCGTTCCTCCCCTCACCTCTGGTCATGACCCGAAGGACCAGATCCACGATACAAGAGACATAGATGAGTTTCCTCCGCAGGGCGTCCGGGCGTCTCCCTTAGAGACAGAGCTCGGAGCTCGGAGTAGAGCTGCTGCTCCTCCACGTGGAGAGGAGCGTCTGAGGGGAGGACGTCTGTTCTGATGTCTCCTGGACGTGTCCCTCAGGAGGTGTTCATGTCCCACCGGGAGGAGGCCCCGGGGAAGACCCAGGACACACTGGAGGGACGATGTCTCTGGACTGGACTGGGAACACCTCAGGATCCCCCGGAGGAGCTGGAGGAAGTGTGTGTGGAAAGGGAAGTGTGGGAGTCTCTGCTCAGTCTGCTGCCTCTGTGACCTGACCCCAGATAAAGCAGAAGAACATGGACATGGACCTACGCACACGTAACTGACGCAGAGAGAATAAAGGCGGTGACTGGTCGTCTCTACATCTGCTCTACACACACTTCTGGTTCTTCACTTTCACAGCTCATTTTGTAACAATGAACACCTGTTTTAAATCCTCGCCTCCAAGGCTCAGACAAGGCGACGGCAGCAGTGTGCGATGAGACCAGACAGAACTATAATTCAACTTTAACAGAGGAACAAGGAACGAAAACTTTTATCTTTGATATATCCAGCAGAGAGAAATGTTCTCTGTCCACAAATGCACAAAGTCGTCTCCTATGAAGGTTTAAATCGTCTGTATTGATGCTAAAATTGGCTGAAGTTCCACTGACTGAGCCGCAGCTGATCGCACACGTCCATCTCTCTGTGCAGGGTTAGTACTCAAACACACTGACCTTGAATGTGCCAGTAGACCTCTCCGTGCTCGGCCAGGATCTCCAGAGACGCAGACATGGACTTCAGGTTCATTTTGTACTGGTGCAGCCCTTTTGCACTTCCCTGAACATCTCTGATGACCCACTGGTTAAAGACACACGTTATCACGTTACACATTAAGACACATGTTATCGTACGATTCTTTAAGCTGCAGAGTGTCCGACTTACTGTAGCTGCTCCAATGAGCAGAACATCAGGCTTTACTGTGTCCTGCAACAAGGAGCACAGAAGAGGTGAGAGAAGCCGACGTTTATGAACAAACAAATGACAAACATCCCACAGTGAGTGATTATGACATGAAAACACTAAAGTTGTTTTATTTGTGGGATGGAGTTTCTCTTCTTGTACATTCTGTATTATTGTGTATTAGAAGTTCTTCAGAGGGACTGGAGGTGTCCTGAGAGTGGACGAGACATGAGTGACTGAACCTGAAACAAGATGATTAAAGTATGTGCATTTGAGGAATGAGTCTGAATAAATGTAATAATATGATTTCTTTGTGTCTGTGCACTTCCTTTGGTTAAACCCTCGTTTGGCTCCACGTGCCTCCATGTCCATCTGTGTGAGGCTCAGGTGAGTGACAAACACAACTGTGTAAAGTCGTCGTACTCACATTAAGCAGCGTAATTAAACGCTTCCTCATGTCATTATCTGTCCTTGGGCTCCACAGGAAGTACTGCACAAACACAACTTTACTCTCTTTATTGTTTTACAATTACAGATTTGAGAAAAACTCACCATTTGAGCTGAGGTGCTGTTGTGTGTGAAAAAGAGATCTGCATGTCTCTGACAAAACAAGCACATGTCCAGAAAGTTCAGAGTGAGTTTAAAAGAATCAAGTCCTCATTAGTGTTTCTCTTACCCAGGGAGGAGTGTAAGGTCCTATTATATTAACAAAAGACAAAAACAGATGCCAAATCCTGGAGTCCCCGATAAAGACGATTTTCTTTCCATCGAGGCAGGTGCTGGCCTCCCTGTGACGGACACACACACATGACACACGACGACACACGACACACGACACACACGACACACACACACGACAGACGACACACGACACACGACAGACGACAGACGACAGACGACAGACGACACACGACACACGACACACACACACACACGACACACACACACACGACACACGACGACACACAGACGACAGACGACAGACGACACGACGACACACGACACGACACACGACACACGACACACGACACGACGACGACAGACG